AAACCTGGGATGAAACATTACAATGAGGTGTTTAGTAAGCATCTGACAGCAAACATTAGTATTGTGTGAACTGTGCAGCTGCTAACAAAAATGTATTATTGTATTCAGCAGGTGGAACTATGCCAGTTGACACCAGACCCCAGATTCTGTCAGTTAGTTTTGGTTTGTTTCCTCTTTCCAAGAGAAAGGCAGTTTTATGCTTGGACATGTCCTAAACAGTGCACTTAAATCAAACCTGTCAGGTGTCATCCCTCCAGGGAATGATATTTTGTGTGTTGTTGATTTAATAATCAGCTCTCTTTTCAGCAGGCCTGCAAAATTGATACTAAAGCGCTATAAAATATTCTTATTGAAAACAATCAAGTGTGATTCTCCGGATTTCAATGGGCTTATAAATTCACTTATCTGGGACACTGATCACATCAGGTGGTAAGTCCTGAGTTTAAAAGTGTTGTAGCAATAAAAAAAAAAAAATTTATTGGTTTTTATTCAAATTATTAGATAAAGCCGTTTTGTTATTTTAAAAAACACACAAAGCAAATGTGCTCAAGTTGGCGCTCCGTATTTTGAGGGTAAAGAGCTCGTTCAGCATTACTGTCTGGATTGATATATTGCAGGATGACGTAGAGTCCACAGGGTTTTTTTTTTTTTTTTTTTGTAGCATGCTTACACATACACATGACAATGGGTAGAGTAGACTCTGGGTCAGGAAGTCCGAACAAAATGACCTGAACTAGCAGTAGGATAATATTAAATAATCAAAGCTAGGCAGAGAGATGTTTTCTGGCCCTTACAGAGGGGGCTGACACGAGACCAGGTTGAGACGCTGACAGAAGAGGATTGGCAGCTGTGTGGAAACACATGGCTACTTGTGGTGCTACCTTAGACTGACTTTGATCACTGATATCAGCTAGATGGTCTTTGTATTTATCCACAGGTCGAGTGGTATTCATTGTCCCTGATGTCAAACATGTGGACATGGCAAAATAGAACGGAACAATGGAGTGCACGTGTGATGCATGTGTATCTTCATACCTGACAATACTAATGATAATGATTCTTTTACAAAAACAATCAATAAATGGGAAAACATTGGGTGATGGATTTTATGAGGTTTGATAAACATGTCTCACACTGAATGACTTCCTTATCTTATCAACAGCTTCTCATGAATGAACAAATTCATTTAACTAAAGTGTTAAAGCTCTGTTTTCGCAAGGGAACAACTAATGCTGTTTAATATTTCCATGTGTACTCTGATGTTTTGGGATGTTTTTCCTTTGTATAATTGCTAACATTTTGCATACAAATGTTAGACTTAGATGAAGAAAAGAGGTTAGTGAGGATGAACATGCAAAATTTTCCCTCTAACACTGTAGAATGATGCACATAGTGAACCTCTCTGAGTATGCTGTTGATGCTGAATGGTGTTGAATTGGAAATTTTGTTTTGGTGATTTTATAAAATAATCAAAGGTGGGATGTAATAGAAAATTTCTATTATATTCATTTAAAGTATTTAAGTGCATATGCATATGCTTAGTTGTGACATTGCGATAGACTTCAGTGAAAGTTTCTAAAATTACATGAACCTATTTCAGCCTCAGCAGTTGGAGAAGACAACTCCCTTTACTGGTGCTGATAACGCAAAGGGCGTAAAACAGTAGACCCATTGTTCAGTTAGGTTTCATAGCGAGGCGCGTGATGTGTGGTATGATCAATTTGTAACTTCCTCCCTCTTCCTTGGAATGCATAAGGGAGTGGGAGCACCACTTCTGTTTCAGAACGCTCAATACCATGAAACTGATGTTTTGATGTGTTCTCCTGCATGTAGTAATAAATAGCGTGACCACAGCTGATTGTGTTGCAGACTTTATTTACAGAGAATTCAATGACACCAAAGTGCAGTTTGAACAACGCCGTCTGTGATTAAAGCAGATGGAGTGTTTACAATCCTACGAAGTCTTTGACTTAAAGGTCTTTTTTTTTTAGGGTGTTTGTTTAGTTTTGTGTCCTGTTGGGTTGTTGGATTCTGTTCACTTGTGTCTTTTCCCCAGCTGTTTCCTCTCTCCCTAATTGCCTTGTGTGTATTTAAGTCCAAAATTGCTGTTTGCTTATTGTCTTGTCCGTCCTCGCAGAATGTTATTTTTGAAGATTCGTAGATGTTGGATTCTTTGTTTGGCTGGCTCTTTTGAAAATCTGGATTAATTTGTTCTCAGTTTAAGTTAATAAAGCTGCTTTTCAGTTTATCCCTCCTGTTTCTGAACCCTTAATTTGGGTCAAGCTCTCCTAGTCATACAGCAGACTTTTCCAATTTCACTAAAAATGTAAAATTGAAATGCAAAATATGAAACAACAGGCCCTGAAATCTCAAAGCTGAGTAATATTCAAGAATGGATCTCGACAGTTTTGAAACGCTTCCCAGGATAAGCCACAAAATGTCCTTAAATATCCTGCCTATGAACGCAGCTCAGGATTACATGATGTTTATTTCTTAGTACAGCTGAGTTTGTGTGTTTCTGTGTGTTGCAGAAAACTACAACACTGTTGTTAGCGTTTAGAAATTGCAGGTATAAAACAGTATGAATGTGTTTTGAAACATGGCGGTGCAGCGTTTATCACTGTCAGCTCACAGAAAGAAGGTCCTGGGTTTGAATCTGCCAGCTGGAGCCTTTCTGTGTGGAGTTGGTCTGTTCTCCCTGTACCTGCATGTTTTCTCTTCAGCCTCCTCTCACAATCCAAACACATGCATGAATGATTGTGTCTCTGTGTTACTCCTGCGACAGACTGCTAACCTGTCCAGGGTGCACCTTACCGTTCACCTCCTGGCACCTGCATAGGCTCCAGTCTCACCACAACTCTGGATTCGATAAGTGATTCAGAAAAAGGGGATTTTCAAATGTAGTAATTTTCTTTTTATGGCAAATGTTTCACATAAACTACAGAAGCATTAGAGCGACACCTTGTGGTCTCTCTTCGCAGCTGCAAATAACAATCCTTTGATTTGAATCATATTCTTCCTCTGCACCATAAACACTCAGACTCTTGGACTCTGACCACGAGTGACGTCCTAGTGGATTCGTGAACTGTCAGTGCAGATGCTTGTCAGACACCTCATGTGTGCTAGTTTTTAGAGTGACAAAGAAACAACAGACAAGACTTCAACACAGGAAAGAAGCAGCATTTGTTTCGCAATGACTGTGGTGCACAAGTGGTTTCAACATCCGCACTTTAATCAGTTAGTGCTATAACGTATAGGTAATTAACAAAAAAACATGACAACCAGAGACTGTATATAACTTTATGCTTATATGCTTTGGATGGGTTAGAGGACAGTGTCTTATTGCCTATAGAACATCTTAACATACATTTTATTGCTGTTTCTTTTTTTTAAACCCGATTTTTTGTCCTTTTCAGCATTTCCAACAACACTGCAGGTCCTCTTGTTAGGAATCAGTCTTCTCCACTGAGTGAGAGACACGGTTGTTTAAAAGTCTTTGACTGTGTTTATTTTTTCATAATTGAATCTGGACTTGTTCTCCTTAACATCCCGAATAGATGGAACATATTTAATAAAAACACACATTTTATCATCATACATGATGGTTTACTTGCAAAGATGGTTTCATATATGACTTCAGAAGCATCACTTGGAGCCCACCAAAATGACATTTTTTCTCTTCTCCCAGCTTTTTGAATTTCATGTGTATCATGTTTGCTTAATGTGGCATGAAAATGAAAGTTTATGAATTTAAAACTGAAATCAGATCTGTAGTCGGTGCCTGGAAACACTGAGCAAGGAATTGGCTACCCTCCTATGACTACAGGGGGCTGAAAATTACGCACACCCCACTTTTCAGTTATTTATTTGTAAAAAATGTTTGGAATCATGTATGATTTTCGTTCCACTTCTCACGTGTATACCACTTTGTGTTGGTCTTTCACGTGGAATTCCAATAAAACTGATTCATGTTTGTGACAAAATGTGGGAAAGTTCAAGGGGGCCGAATACTTTTGCAAGCCACTGTATATAAGTCGCTCATGGATTCTGGGTCCCTCAGACCCAGGTCCCTGACATCTAAAGTTATTGGAGAAAACCAAACACCTCATAACAACTGCGCAGCCCAGTGGTGGAGGGATGGTGATGCGGGCTGGCTTTACACCTACAAGACCTGGGCGCCTTGCAGTCATTGATTCAACCATAAGCTCTATATGCCTAATTACTCTAGATTCAAATGTGATGTCTGATAGCTAAACTACTACCCCCCTGCACCCCTGCTACTGTCACATGTGAAAATGATCCCAAGCACAGCAGCAACAACAACAACAGGATGACTGAAAATGAAAGAATGAAGGTGTTGCAATGGCCCAGTCCAAGTTTGAAATGCTGTAGTGGAAGCTTAAGAGAGCGTTACATTAACAAATGTCCTCAAACCTCAATGGACTGAAGCCACATTGTGAACAAGAGTGGGGCCAAAATTCCCACACAATAATGTAAGAGACTGAAGATGATTACTATGCACTCCGTACCTCCAATTAAAATAAAAGCTCAAAGTAGTTATTTCTGCACTGCTCACAGCCAGTCTTTGTGGCATTAGTACTTACTTTAACAAAGGAAAACATGTGTTTCAAACAGGTTAAAGAGTCTAAGGGTGGGAATGTCCTGATGTGAAGCAACAGCTTGTCTACAGTTTTGGAGCCACAGATGAAATGAGGTACTGTGTTCGTTTTGTAAACTGAGCCAAAGGAGAGTATATAAACTGAAAAAAGAACTGGGCCAAGGAAAAATATCAGTTGCTATTAGGTCTCGACAACATGAAGATACTTAATTCAGGGAAAAAGAAAGAAAAATGAAAGAATGTTTAATATTCAATGCAGGCCAGAGTCATCTACAAAATCTGTGTTAGTTTTGATATCAGCTACATACCTCAAAGTTTTATTATTTATTAATACTTAAGAAAATCTGTTTAATGGCATGAATGTAAACACAGGGAACAAGAGGCTGGTCAAATACCTTTCATTTTATTTTTATTTTTTGCCACTTGGTTACAATACTTTGTGCTTTACAGAGAAAAAATGCACATTCAGAGCTAAGATTCAGAATCTTGCGAAGCTAACCAGAAAGAAAAAGGAACGGCTTGTTTATGCGCTGGTATATGTTGCTTTAACAGCATCGCTGAAGGTTTATGTCAAAGGATGGTCGCACACAAGCATCACTTCATGCCTTTGGACTTTTCAGAGCTCCAGATTTCTTCGCACTCTCTGTTCACCACCAGTTTGCCGTCATCGGTCAGTTGAAGACGGCACATGTTGCACTTGGCAGAGTTGGCAGAGTTTGTGTGCCACTTAGGCGTGTCACACTTGTTGTACATGACCAGGTTGCAGTCAGCCTGCATGCACAGACGGATGGCGTCTGATCCTTCAGTGTCTGAAGTCCACAAAGGCTTCCAGCCATAGATGACAAAATTGCCATCACCCTGCAACCACAAAGAAATCACACATTAGATAACTGTCAGCACGCATGACTGGAAAACAAGGCTTTTATGAGCTTCTGAACTGAGAAAATTTGAAGTAGTCACCTGAAATATAGCTTTGTACTGCTTGTTGTTGGACACCAGGTAGTCTCCCCTCCGGAGCTCATCGTTTTTGGACAAGAAGTTCCTGCTCATGATCCTGCAACACACAACAAAGTCAGAATTTTATTTGCGCACGTCAATGAAACCTGTTCTTCTTACATTCGTTTTTATCCAAAAACTTGATAACAATTGCAAACTTCTGTTCATTTGCAGATATTTAACAGAATGCGTTTATTTTAAAGTATACTTACAGGCTTGAATGTCTTCGACCAGTGAGAGTTCAGCAAATTCAGAGAGGTGATGTGTGAGAGGTAAGATTTACATTTTTATATACCACAGATGAGGGCGGTGACAAAAAGTGAAAAGGGGGCTGAGAAAGGGGCATTAAGCCCTCCTTTTTACGCTTTTGTTCGTCTGACATTTAAAATTTGACAGACTATACTTTAATCGTTCTGACCTTTCCATCTTGGCAAATCAGTCAACATCTTTGTATAGAAAAGTGTGATTATACAGCATGCAGCATTCAAGGTCATGCCTTCAGGGACTTTACGAAATACCTCTTCAACAAGTTTTCTCCTGTAAGGGCAAATCCTTTTCTAGGCAGCCCTGTGCTTTGAGTAATTTTAAGTAGCACTTTGAGTTAGCTACGTTAAGAATTTCCATTTCTGTCTTCTCACTCTTTTCTCTTAAGACTATAACATTAAAAAATACATGTAATCTGTGCAGTTTAACGGAAAAAAAACCTGGTTGTCATTCTTACCTTTTTACATTTTTATTTTCCGGTTCTGTTCTGCTCAGTTGTTCAAGTAATACCAGGATATTAAAAGGTGAAGAAAAAAAAACAATCTTCAAGGTTTTCAAACAGCTTTTAAAGCTTTTAGGATTCAACTTTGAGCCAAATTTAAAAATCATGTTAATTACGTGAAATAGTATTTAGGTTATTGTAGAATTAAATTTACTTGTACGTATTATTACAGTGACATCTGCAGTCTTAACCAGCTTAACGTTGCTGTGTTCCTTAGAAGCCCTGCAGAAAAGTGGTTATTAGATGAGACAGTCTTTTTGTTAGTGGGCATGTTTCTATGATGAGGAATTTGGCCTGTAAAGAATCTGGATTTCTAACAAATTTAAACAACACAGAAATGCATTGTTACGTTTCCTGGGTAATGCAACGGTTGGGTAATTTATTACACACACAGCTGTTTGTCCTCTTTTTATTATGTGTCACACATGGAATGCAATGAGTTCAAAAAGAAAAAACACTTCTTTCACACGTTTATCACAAATGAGTGAGTGAATGATAAAAATTAAAGTGGAGTATGCATTTAACCAGTTAACTAATGGTTACTACAGATTTCTTTCCTTATAGCTTTCTGGATATATTTGAGCTGCAATGCAAAATCTATGCTTTCACAGCCAAAAGTGTAGGAGCGCCACTGTGGTAGACCATTTTTTTGTAGTGATCCTCCCTGGCTTTCTTCATCTCCTGAATCAAGAAAGAACACAAAAAGATGAATGTGTGAATATTATTCACACATAGAAAACTACACAGAAAGCTAAAAAATGTCCAGAGTTTTAAAAGTAAAATAGAGAGCAGAAGAACATCAAAAGCAAAAACATAGAAAAGGACAAAAACCCAAAATGTGCTTATTACACATGAGTAATATTACCTCTGTGAATCTCGGTTTCTGGATACAGTGAACGTATGGGTTGGGTTGGGCTTCTATCTGTTCTCCTGATGTTTTGTAGCAAACTGCACAATCCATCAGAGGCTGTGGAGCAATGACAACATGAAGAGCATAACAGTGGTGCTGATGCTTTGATAGATGGTAAAGTTAACACTCCTTTTTTAAAAACATATTTGCTCACTCGATCATTCCTGTAGGGGCATCTCTGAGGGTCAGTCTCAGTTGTTCCTTTCGGACACCTGGTGGGTTTCAGGTGGAAGTGGTGGTAGAAGTATCTCATACCAAATCCACCCTGAAAGATAACATAGGATAATTTTATGGGGAGCTACAAACACGTTGTTTGATACGTCTGTTCAGCTGATTTGTCAATGCAAATATCTTAACAGACAATCACATAGCAGCAACTGAATTGATGTGAACACTGCTGAGACAACCTACTAAAGTTCAAATAAAGCATTAGAAAGGGAAATTAAGTGAAACTAAATCTGGCATGGTTGTTGGTGCCAGACAGGCTGCTTTGAGTATTTTGGGAAATGCAGATCTGTTGGGATTTTCCAACACAACCATCTCTAGGGTTTACAACAACTGGTTTGAAAAAGAGAAACTATCCTGCAACCTCAACATTTAGATGAGACCATGGATCCATCCTGTCTTGTATCAAAAGGACAAAGCACTGTGTGGACTTTGCATATTCTCCCCATGTCTGCGTGGGTTCTCTGCGGGTACTCTTGCTTTCTCCCACTGTTTAAAGACATGCAGTTAGTGGGTTTGAGTGACTCTAAATTGCCCAAGTGAATGTTGTTGGGTTGTTTTGTTTGTCTTTCAGTGTTAGCCCTACATTAGGCTGCCGACCTTCCTCTTGCCCTTTGCTAGCTTGGAAACCCCGCAACCCTGATAAGGATAAATGGAAGAGAATTGATGGATTGAAAAGGTCGAAAGCACGATGGTTAAGTGGAAACTGCATCTTGGACAGAAACAGCTGCATTATGCTGCTAGGACAACTTCAGCTCTTTGCAAGTATCCGCACACAGCATGCTAACATTGAGCTAGCCAGACAGGATGCTAACGTTAAGCTAGCAAAAAACCCAGAGTGATTTTAAAGCTGACTGAATGCCGACCCCAGCCCAGCAGCCAGACCCTGAACTTCAACAGGTAACAAACCAATGAGCAGTCAGCTGCCTCTTTTTCTACCTGCTCATGTTTCTAAAGTTGATCATTTTAAAGTCTCTGTGTGCTGTTTTTCATTTTTGCTTTGTGTTTTCAGCTTTGTGTTCGACTACACAGCAGGCAATTAATTTGCACAAATGTAATGTCTTTGATATACTGCCTAGTAATTGTGGTGACTCTCAAAATAGAGCCATCCCATTGAGAATCAATAAGTGGTAACAATAATTCTAACAAAATTATTGATTCGATAACAAAATCCTTATCATCTTTCTCATCCCTAATGGCTGATAAAGCCCATAAAATAAATGCAATAAACTGAATCTTTAATGTGTTTGTGTGGGAACAGCAGCCGCAGAGAAAAGGTTCCACAGAGAAATCTGTTAGAAATGTAGTTTCTTGATGTAATTCCAGTTCAGTGTGCACAGCCCACTAACAGGCTTCAGGGCTTTTCTTTGGTTGTTTGTGATGGTCAGATTTTAATCTGCAGGGGCTGTGGCCTCCACTTCGCTCCACCTCCTAAACTATGAGACAGTTTCTGGAAAGAGGACACATGTCAGGATGCCAGGAGGCAGAATAAAAGTCCAAATAAATCTTCACGCGCAGAGGTCATGCAGAACAAGGCAAACAATCAAGGACTAAATTCCAAAAACAGCAAACTGATAAACAAGTAAGCAGGCCAAAGGGAACAGAAGGGAACCAAGGACTACGAGGAAGACGTGATGAGTGTTATAAACAAGTGAAATGGAAAACTGGCGTACTAAATAGTAGCATATGGGTAATTTAAAGCAACTAACAACACCTAACTACTGATTTTATTTTCTGTTTATTGCAGGTTATTATGCACAAGCTCATTTTCATCAAAGTTTGGAGAATAAAGAACATATTTGCCTGAAATAGCAGATAATCCACTGCAGCTGAGTCTCTTGGCTTGAAAGTACATCACCAGATAAATTGCACTTCCGCTGGTGACAGCCAGAGCTTTATTATGAGTGTGTGGAGATATCCACCAAATATCTCTCTGTTCTTCAGTATACGTGCAGGTACAGTAGCAATACTCAGCTGAAGTAATCAGCAGATCTGAGATAAAACCAGCTGCAGTTCAGTTATCTGCCTCGCTCTCTCCCCACAGCACCCTGCATCTCACCATTCACATGTCCCCACATGTACATCCTGATGTGAAATCCTACAACTTTTTACCAGATATACATCTTTTTTGATTGAAAATAGTAAATGGGCTGTTTCTTATATTGTGCTTTTTTTACTCTATTTGAGCACTCAGAGCACTCTATACAACAATACCTATTCAAAAAAGCATGTTTTTTTCTATGCCTCTTCCTAACATTCATACACATTCACACCACAATGAATCCTTTATAGGGCAACTCTGGGTTTCTGTATCTTGCACAAGGACACTTTGGTATGCAGACTGTGAAAGGCTCCAGTGTTTGAAAGTTTCACATTCAACACTTTCAGTTTTAGCTAAACCTCCTCTGTAAGGCCTTATATTTGAAAAAGAAAGGAGTGAAAGCAGTCTTTAATGTGTACATTCTCACAGAGACACACCTCATCCTGTTTTTTTCTCTGCTGAAAACATTTTCCTCCCTGACATTTAACATCTTGCGTACAGATAGGAAAACAAGTATGAGCCAGAATTCCCCGGAGCAAGAGAGAGGAAAAGTGTGCCAAGTCAGTGTTAACTGAAAGCAGACTTTTGAGGTTTTTTCTCTTTTTAAGATTACAATTCAATGTTTGTCTTTTAAATTTAAGCTGAAAATATCCTGCACACATTTAGGAGAGTGTTGTCTTTATCTCACCCCATCAGTGACGCTACATGTTTTCAAAGTGGGTGTCATTATGACACAAAAAAATCCGAAGAGCTTGTAAAAGAGCTAAAGCTAAAAGATGCTTACCTCAGTTTCTAACTTCCCCACAGTTTTCAGAAAGCGATAATGGTGTTGGACCCTAGCGTGGGTGCTGAGCTGTTGCATTGCCAGATCCACTCCTTTCTTGTAGATTTCAGGCAGACCATTGTAAGAATCCTGAGCTTCAGCAGAGTACAGCACAGCAACTGCACAAACCAAAAGCAGCAAACTAGCAGCCATTTTTCTCTGAGTCTGGGAGGAGAGCAGCTTAGAGAATAAAGACCCGAGTTCAAAACAAGTCCTATTATGGCTCTGGGAATCACAAGTGAAACTAAAAACATTGATCATTGACAGACCAGCAGCTGTACTCACTATTTACTTAATATCCCACCCGCTTTCCTGTAACACTCAGGAGGTCATAGCTTAAAACTTTCCAACAGAAAACATGCTCAGTGCCAAAAGAGGACTTAGATTATTACAATCAAGCCATGGTTCACTGATTCAGATCCTGGAAACAAGCTAAGCATGTGGTGCCAAGCTTTTAGCACCAGGACAAATCTAAAGGTTAGCAGTAATTAGATGAAAAGTTTTATTTTCATTTCATTAGATGGCTCTTTGTTTTTACCAACAAAAAATAAAACCTTTATTTCTGCCAGCAGAAC